CACCCCCTCGCTTAACCTCAAAACTCTGTAAAGAATTTTCGCAACCCACACACAGTAATATATTTGCAAACGAGAAGGTCGTCTTCAACAATAAAAGCAACAGCCTGCCCGGCTAGCTCAATCGGTAGAGCGTGTGACTCTTATTCATCGTAAGATGTGATGGTCAATCACAAGGTTGGGGGTTCGACCCCCCCGTTGGGCTCAATTCCCATCATTGATTTTTTTGCATTTTTTTTAATAGTATTTTTTTTGGGGGTGTGGAGTTGGTTTGAAGGTTGGGTCTGTAGGTAGTAGATAGGTAGGTAGTAGGTATATAATGTGTGCGTTTCTTCACCCTTTCGCTTTTGCTTTCGCTTTCGCTTTCGGGGGTGGTATGAGGGGGTGGGTGTTGATGGGATTGGGTTATGTGGAATGGGTATTGAGTAGTAGGGTGTTAGTTTCTAGCTCAGATCTTGGTGGTCGTGGATCGATCTCTGATAATGTACGCACTATTCAGGTAACATATATAAGGTGGTTAGTTGTATACTGGATTTGGGGTACGCGTTTAGACTGAAGACGAGCGGATGCTACTGTACTGTGAATTTCCCGATTTGCAATGTGCAGTTTATGGAATGGCGGAACTACGAGTATTTGATGGGCCTTGGTATTGATCAAAGGTTTGGAGTAGCAAAGTTCTTTGAGAACAATAGCCCTGTCTAAGACATTGAATATAGTCTGCGGTCCAAAAACTGTGCACCCACCGTGTCTAGGGGAAGTCTGGTTAGAGATGCTCACTACGCTCTACATAGCCAACACATAAATCACATGCCGTTCTGGGTAGTTCTGTTTGTATCTTGGATCATCCTTTCGAAATTATAAAATATATATTATTTCCTTTCTTGTAAAAATGGTTATCATCAGTACATGTGAAGGTGTTCGTATGTTTGTGTGTGAATTTAGATGGAGTGTCCGTTATGTTCATATCCTTATTCTCCCTTTGATTCTCATTTCATCCATATCTCATATGTAACGACCTCCTCTCCAAATCATCATGTATCTACTATCAAACCACTCAACCCAATTGTATCTTTGAAAACATCCCTCTCTCCAGGAGAAACGCCGCAGCGCTATGCATTAATTAAAAAGTAGTATTACCTTATTTTCCCACCACTAAGCTGCACCAGCTCCGTGCTCAATCTTCTTGCCTTTTACACTCTTCCATTCCACAAAACATGCACAAAACGTCGCAATAGCACCAACCGCAATTGCCAAAACAAATGACTGATCCAACGCTTTACAATATGCGACCAATACACCCGCCAGATCGCCAGGACTAATGACCTCGCGAAGATGTGTTGCACCGGCAGCGTAGATGACGGCTGGATCAACTTCAGGGGCGTACTGAGGTACATATTTGACGAGTCCGTTGCTAAACACATTTTGCGCAATGGAAATGGAGATGGCTCCGCCAAGGGAATTGAAGAAAATAGCGATGGCGTTTCCACTGGGCATATCTTTTGCGTTGAGAACGACTTGAACGGCGATAAATGGAATTTGTACTCCCATGCCTGCACCGATACCGCAGATTAATTGATAGCCCACCCATTTTCCAACACTGGAGCCTACTTGAAGCGTGTACATGAGTCCAGCACCGACTGTGAAGACTGCGCCGGCAAAAATCATGAAAGGTTTGTAGAAACCAAGAACAGTAATACCAGCGCCGGCAAAAATAGATGAGACAATAACGGAGCCGAGGTATGGAATCGTACGAATACCGGATGCTTCTGCGGAGGTGCCCTTGACAGCTTGGAAGTAGAAAGGAAGGTAATAGATATGTGTGTAAAGACCCATTGACATAAAACAAGAGAATAAGCAGGCACTAAGAACAGTTCGCTGGCTGAAAATTCTGGGAGGAATCGTAGCTCGTTCACCGCGACGAAATTGTTGGGCAATGAATACAATGATCAAAAGACCGAATCCGAGCAGGCAGCCCCAGACTTTCGAATTGCTCCAAGGGTATTTTGACCCACCCCATTGTAAGGCTAATAACAGACTGATGATCGCCCCCATGAGGAAAGTAGCTCCAACGAGATCGATTTCCAGAATTCTTTGCTTGACAGTCATGCCGGATATTTTTCTGGGGGGAGGTTTGAAGAATAATGCTACGGCACCAATAGCAATTCCGCCAACTAAAATATTGAGGTCAGTTATTTTTCAATACAAGTCAGTTTTTGGTCGTAATCAAGGAGTTCCATCTTATCGGAAAGTAAAGAGAATCAGAGTCCCCAGTAGTCCGACTGCAGTCCAACGGTTAAAGCTTTCAATTCATGAATTCAAGTAATTGAATAAAACAGGTTCAGAATTCCAGCCGGGACTTTTGGAAACCTGGAGGACAGGCGTCGTGGTGTTGTGGATGGGGGACCAGAAGTACAACAGCGAGGGTCCGAATTCAAATAGTCGAATACACTTACATGGAAGATTTATCCAAAAACACCTGCATAAATTGATGAGTCAGTATTTACTTCTACAAAAAGGCCTTAAGAAGATATGAGTAGTAAAAGTTGTTCAAGACAGCATGGAGAAAGCAAACGCTGAGACTGAAAACTGAAGTCTGGAATCAAAGAGTGCGAAAACAAGGTGCTGGAAACGCTTACCATCGCCATGAAGCTTTGTCAGTCAAAGCACCACCAAGAAGGGGACCAACGACACTAGAAATGCCAAACATCGATGATAACATAGCAATATACAATGGCCTCTTAATCAAAGGAACAGTGAACCCAATCTAGACAAAGTTAGTTGGGGCATTCCTCCCACGAAAAAGTACAATAATAGACTTCAATCAAATTAAAGATAGCTTACTATTGTCATGCCGCCAGAAAATAGTGCTGAAGCTCCTGCACCGGCAACCGCTCTCCCTACAATAAGCATGACTGAATTTCTTGCAGCAGCACAGATGATAGATCCAACCTCGAAGAGGACAAGAGCGAAGAGATAAGTCCATTTGACGTCAAAATAGGTATATATACGTCCAAATGATGGTTGGAGGGCGGTTGTTGTAAGCAAGTAAGAGGATCCATACCATCCAACATCGTCCAGAGAGTTGAAGACTGAGGTTATTTTGGGAATAGCAGTGGCGATGACTAGAGATGATTAGTATGGTACTTGAGCAATAGTCTTAGTGAAGCAACTAAGTAGACAATTCATGCCGATAAAGCTGAGGGAAAATAGAGCAAGTGTTCCGTCAAAGGAAACAACTGAGGATCGAACAGTGTTGATGCCAAAGTGTCGATGTCCTATATCAAGACGGCCATATCAAATTTAAAAGCTTACTAGTATTATCCAGCGCCACGGTAAACGTAGCCATGCAAAGACCAAAAGTCAAGAGTGCCAGTGGCACACCGGAAATGTAATGGTTCTCATCATCTTCTTCTCCGTTTGATTCTTCTGTTCCTTCTACAACTCCCCCTTTCTCCCCATCATGCTCTATGGGTGCACCGATTCCCGCGGACGCATTTCCATGAAAGTCTTTCTCTGGGTCCAAAAGTTCACTTGGATGATGCTTGAAAGATGTAGCAGCTGCATCTGCCTTCTCACTGTCCTCATATACCACGCCGACACCACCAATAGTAGGTGCTACGCCAGGTAATGGAGATGTTGATTTATGTTCGCCATGATTATTTGAATGGTTGGTAGTTCCCAGTGTTGGCGCAGCAGGCTGAGCGGGTTGTTCCGTCTGTATGTCCGGCATGATTGGGGATGTGGACCCTAGACCTCGTGTTTACCCCAGAAATCGTTTGCGACTTTGAATTCTATTCGACAGTCGATTTTATTATGGATCTTGTCAAGATGCTTGATTTGACATTTGATATTAGATCTAAAAGCTTCCAGAAATGGTATGAAAGTGATACAAAAATGATCGTAAGGAAGAAGAGGTTGGTGGCGGTTTGTCAAGTACTGGATCTTACGAACCAGATATTGGAATATTAGAGAAAATTCACCAATGTATAAGGAAAATATATATCTTCCGCTTAATTTGATAACCTACACTCCCCATGTCAATTGATCCAATTCCTGTCCAGGATTCCTCATCGGCTCATTAGCTTTTCGGAGAAAAGAAGCCTTTTGGGATAAGAGCTGACAGGGTCGGTTATAAACAACCAATGAGATACATATTTTGAATGAATCTCAAGCTATTCTCGACCATCCCTTACAGTGCAGCAGTGCATACACACATTCTGGCCACTGCGATCGAACCATGGATGATGGCTCTGTTACTTCAGCTCAAGGGGGCAGTTCCCTCCATAAGGACTCAAAAAGGAGCAAGCCCTCCTTATCTGCAAGATATCTGCCGTCAGATTCCTTCTGGAATACAATTTTGAATGCATGGCATGGTTACCGAACATCGGTATGAGACAATGTTGTGCTTCGTGTCTGTGTACAATGGAAAATATCGGTACTGAGACTGAAACCATACACAAAGACGCTGCCGAAGCTTTACCCAATTGCTTGGCGTCGCGCTGTAAGATACAAAATCATGGGGAAAGGTTGCGGCGTGGATAAGTAGAACATACGATTACGAATCCGAATACGTTCTGGGTCAAAATCTGCACGAATGATACTAAGGACAAATAGCTTTACAATTTAGCCGGTAGGGCTTTGATTTGGGATGAACATCAGTTGATATTCCATGAGATTCAGCAATAGATCATCTGTACCATGGGCAATTTCGATGTGTGAGATCCTGGGTAAAAGTGTTTCCATTTCCTGCCCTATGAGACTGTCTCGATTTGAAGAAGTATTGAATGTCAGTAAAGGGGTATGCTACCCAGTGCCTCATAATAACGCGCAAAAGATATGGAAAGCTTCAGTCGCAAATTCGAATCGAATACTGTTAATACATAGCTGTTGCAATTTCCCAAAATCACGCTCCATCGATTGCAGAAGTTATGCCGAACTGGTTGAGCGAAACATGCTTGATGCGCACTCTTAAACAACGCGTTTGACCTACGCAAGTCAATCAGCTACCGGCTCAAAACGCCGTAGCGTTCGGTACTGTGGCTCTTTACCTCGAAGAATCGTTTCAACCACCAAACTTGGAAGATACCTTCGCCAACCAAGACTCCCATCTGGAAGATACTCCACCACTTGACCCTGCCGTTTGTGCTCTCTGCTGTATTACGATGGGTTCTCTCGCGCAAAACAATGTATGATTGTTCGTCCTTCACTTGAGCAAGGAGGTCAGACAATTGTCGAACTATATCTATTGTAAGCTTCAAATGTTTGGAGAGGAAAGTACGTTCAGCTACCTTCTGCCTCTAAGGGATCCGATGGAGCTTCTGCCTCTGGTACATAGACGATGCCGTGAACGTTGAAAGATACATCCTTGCTAGATGCCGACCAATGCTCGTTGCTGAAGCAGTACAGGTATTTGCCGTCGTGGTTGGCAGTAAATGAGTGATCCCCGTTAGATACAGCTCTTTCGTGTGCCTCATATCCGTTGGCGGGGTTTTGGATCTACATTTCAAATCCAGTTAGTCCCAGAGCCTTTCCAGAAATACGCCAATATGTTCCAACATGACTCCAGCCTTACTCACCCAAAAGTCGATATCCAAATTGCCAGCACTGCCAAATTCCCTATCGCCAACTTGGAATGTAACCGTCATTTTATCATCTTTGTGAAGTTGTTCGTGAAAGCACTCTCTGCCATGAGCTGCGAGTTGAATGTTGTGAGCAACAGCAGCTCCAAAGAGACTGCCAATTGTCAAAAGGGCTGCGGGGGTTGCAAATCGCATGTTGATTGTGTGATTAAATAAGGTGATTTATTGAAGTTGGAAGAAGATTCGTGGTGTGAACCAGTGAGATGAGTCTCGAGTAACTGCTTGACGCGAGGGAAAGAGAGTACGGTGCGAATAATTCACCAGATCTTGTTGTCCTAATAAAGTAATGTACTGTAATTGATTCACAGTCAAAAAGTGGTGAGATTGATTGATTGCTCCGTATTATTCTCCCTCATTCACAGGTAGACCATCAATTGATATCAATATCGCCAGCTCCCTTTTCTCAGATAACCCAAATCAAATTATTGCCAGATCGTTCAATCGATAAAAGGCACCGCAGCCTTAAAAATCTGGAACAATAAACCTATTTGGGACTCTGATAGGCTAGAGTAATCACTTTAGCGTCAAATTTCCGAAAGAACAGAGAATCACCGCCCGCCGCTGTCCTTCTAAAGTTCTCACAGTCTCACTCACACCTTCCCAAGCACATCCACCCCATCTTTTTGTTCAATCCAAAAACCATCTCGCTAATAACTTCAATTCCATCTCCACTCGGTCATTCTATTGATCTCATTAATCAAAGGGAAATTTGTAAGTACGATGTTATTCCATTCCATTTATATCTTCATCTATCCAGAGAGCCTTCTTGGTAGCCCCTTGAAAGTGTGGCAAGTCTTCTTCAACGGCGGCGCAGCGCGTGCCCATTCACCGATACAATCCAATCCCAAAAAGAACTTCCTTCCAGAAAGATGCCAGAAACGCAGGTGTCCTTTGTCCAGAACGGCAGCCTATTCTATATTCGATCAAGGATCTCACACCGACAAGTGGCTCCACCAAGAAACTGTCCTTTTAATTCATGGTCATATAAACAAGTTGCATCTATCGCGCAGTCGCTAATATCTGTGCTTCCCGATTAGAATCATTTTCCAAGCAAAACATCAAATTCATATCCACCCTCATACACAATTGTTAAGCCGCAATCATGGGTTTGACATTCTCGAAGTTATTTGACCGTCTCTGGGGAAAGAAGGAGATGAGAATCTTGATGGTCGGTTTGGATGCTGCTGGTAAAACTACAATTCTGTATAAGCTCAAGCTTGGTGAAATCGTCACAACTATCCCAACCATCGGTATGTATCCCTTCATCCATTCTCTTATCATCAGCAAACCGAGAGATCATCATTAACTTTTATCTTACAGGTTTCAACGTCGAGACTGTCGAGTACAAGAATATTCAATTTACCGTGTGGGATGTTGGTGGACAAGATAAGATCAGACCTCTGTGGAGACATTACTTTCAAAACACCCAGGGTATCATTTTCGTTGTAGACAGCAACGATCGTGATCGTGTGGTCGAGGCTCGTGAGGAATTGCAGAGAATGTTGAACGAGGACGAGCTTAGAGATGCCATTCTTTTGGTCTTTGCCAACAAACAAGATTTGCCAGTCAGTATATTGAGATTCGACATATGAAAACGATGACTAATCTATGTCTTTAGAACGCCATGAACGCTGCAGAAATCACAGATAAATTGGGTCTCCACAGCTTGAGACAACGCGCCTGGGTATGTATATTAACTAGCTACAATGAATCTACAGCTAATATCTTTTTAGTACATTCAATCTACTTGCGCTACATCTGGAGATGGTCTTTACGAGGGATTGGAATGGCTCGCAACGACCCTCCGCAAGACTGGTCACAACTAAGTACAACATCGATCCTCAACCTTTATACCACGATTGTGTTTGCAAGATACTACAAAACCAATCAAAACGTTCACATCTCTACCGCTCCTCCAAATTGGTCATTGGTGCATCTCTCAAACTTATTCTTGTGTCTTCAGCGGTCCACATCAATGAGAGGCGCAAGGGTGGGAAATGTATGATGATTTAAGCTCTTACGTCTTCTTATGGCTAGGAATCTCGTTTTAGCTATGATTCCACGGGGCTTCCTCTTTGTCTTTTTTTGCGTGCGTTTTTCTGGTGTCATCCATCTCCTACGTTCTGTTTCTTGCCATCTCTTGTGTGCAGCATGGTATACAAAAAGCAGAAGTTAGATGGAAGATCAAGGTAGTCTAGTCCGGAATTGATCTCACATTAGAAAATAATTCTTGATAATATTTGATGTTACAAATGCCATTTGCATAGAGTTTAGTAAACCTTATCGTGTATGCTTTTGATCTGTGGAGTGATTTCAAATATGAAGTGAGTGTAGTTCCGAGTCAGTCAAGTTGAAGATTATGTATGAGATTTTTGCTTGGAAACCTGGATTTGCATGGCTGATATCTGAGGGTCGGATGGTATTCAGAGGGCGTTCGGATGGCAAAAGGGCCCAAGCAAGTTCCTTGGTAGTAGCACGTTGGACGCCACGATTCGTTGGAGAATGTGGGGGCTGAAGACATGACTCGGGTAAATGGGAAATCGGAGTCGTGAGATTCACACGTTACGATACGGTTCTGGGAAGATTTTGGAGTGATGCTTGATTTTTTTGGTGCTTGTGATATTTGGTTGTTTGGAACATTGGATGGGTTGGTGCTGGGGTAGGTAGGTAGGTAGGTAGGTATTGAAGATATCTATTTATCTATCTGTTTGTTTTGTGAGTGAGTGAGTGAGTGAGTGAGTGACATCTGGATGGAATATTCGTGTTTGGGAATATTTGTGTTTGTATTTCTACTCGTTGTTGTCGCTGCCTTTGTGGGTGGAGAGATGTGAGAATCTGGAGGTGAGACTTGTGGATAATGAGATATACGATATCGGATGAGTTGTTGTCTTGTGGTGGGTGGTAGTACTGTATTCGTATTACCGGATGATTTATTTCTGTAGACGGTAGACGGTAGGAGGTAGGTAGTACATAGATAGGCAAATAGGGTATTGTTGTTTCTCCTACCTATGTGGGTAAATGTGAGGTGTGAGGTGTGAGGTGTGAGGTGTTTAAGTAACTTATTAATTTTCTCGCACTGTGATGCAGTGCGGCATCTGCAGTTTTCTAAAGGGCAATGTGCACGGATTCGCTCTTGTCGGTATATATACTTAGTTCTAGCAGCGGCTGTTTTTGATTCGTGCAGTACGAGTGGCTATATGGAATAAGCCTAAACCTCAGCTCAGCTACAAATTCTCATATACCCATATCGACTCATCTGTAATGAGGAAATAGCAATGAATGATTATGATGGTACTGATATACATAGGAAATAGATCAAACTAGAACGAACTCTTCTTATTCATCAACTATGTATTTAGATCAATAGAGCAAGGACTGTCTATCTCGCTATTTCTAATACTAATACTAATACTCAGAATCTTAATAGCACGATTCACCACTCCTACCTGTATACATATCATCTACCCCCTCATCTCACATCCACCTCAGTATACACTAGAATACATTACAAAGCCAATCTTTCAACTGATTGCACTCCCTCAGTCCTCCCCGCCGTTAATAGCATCTTCATAATCCGCAGTCGCGACGCAACGCATAACTCATAATGCCCTATCTTAGCGAACATATTCCAAAGCGTCTTGAAATTCAGATTCGAAGAGTGCTGTTCCAGGAGGGTGTATTTGATGTGTATCTTGAAACTTTTCGCCCCTTTGACACAGGAAAGCGAATGTTCTATGTGCTGGGTAGAATGGCTAGTCTTCTCTAAATTGTGTCCATTTTGGGTACGCACTTGCATTGATAGGGAAGCGGGAGAAGCTCTTTCTGTGCCTAATACTTACGCAAATCCCATTGTATCATGTTCGCCAATATCCGGCGATAGATGTATTCATAGCTCGAGGCGAGGAGGTTCAGTCCAGGATTGCCACAGCAGGTCAGTCCCTGGTGAACGTAGACGAAAAGTATGAATTGAAGGAGTTTAATAGAATTGCAAAAGTACTATGTATATGTAGAAAGCAATGGTATCAATCAAGGAGTCAACGAAATTCTACCAAATGATTGTAGCCCGTACCACTCAAAGGCAAAATTGCAATGCACCAAGTATATCGACCCAGTGAACACTTCAAAATAAAATCTCAAAGGTGACAATCCCAAAATTCTGTATTACCTCTTCTACTTCATATCTACATATCCTTTTGCTCTCCTACTGGGCTCATCAACTTACCCTTCTCGATGGCGCTTCTTACGTTATCAATACACCAGACCTCCATCTTGGTTTGAGTCTCTACAGTCCACTTTTGACAAAATGTTAGTTTCAATGTGATTTCAAACTCGAATAAGGATGACCTGTAACTTACTGTTCCCATGTGTGGTACTAAAATGACATGTGGGTTGTCAATCAATCCTTGATGAACCTTTGGCTCCTCTTCGAAAACGTCTAGACCTGCTGACCAAACTTGGCCAGACTCAAGTGCCTTTACTAGAGCATCTTCGTTCATGACTGCACCTCTAGCGGTATTGGTGATAACAACACCCTTCTTCATCTTCTTGAATTCCTCGGTGGAAATAATGTGACGAGTGTTTTTCTATGGTTTTATCAACAGGGAACTTTGAGTGGTGCTTGAAGTGGAACTTACGTTCAAAGGTAAATTCAAGGACAAAACATCACTGGTAGCCAATAACTCATCGAAGCTGACGTATTTAGCACCTCCGCTCAATTCTTCCGAAAGCTTAGTACGGTTGTGATATTGAACGGACATGCCGAAAGCAGTTGCCTTCTTCATGAGGTTTCGTCCGATACCACCCATTCCCAAGATACCGAGAACTTTTCCTTGAGGGTCGTGACCAAGAGGTGGTGCTGGGGAACCCTTCCAGTGGTTCTTTCGTAGAGCCATCATTGCTATGAGATGTTAAAAATAATGTTCTAGATATGGGTAGAATTAATACGAACAGGTGTTAAATCCTCTCAGTGCTCCTAAAATGAGAAACATATTGGTATCGGCAGTAGCATCATCAACGGCAGTTGGAACATTAGAAACACGAATATCGTGTTTAGTGCATGCATGTACATCAATTTGGTCATATCCAGCTCCTAAGACCACGTATTAGCCTCGCCATTTTCTCTGGTATTCAAAATCCTTTTTATTACCACTGTGAGCAATGAACTTCAAACCCTTTGGTAGCACACTGATTAATTCTTCATCAATCAAACCTGTAATAGCGACACTGGTGAAAGTTCTGTATACAGCCACGACTTTATCGTAGACGCCATTTTTACACTCTTCTATGAATTCTTGACGGGATCGTGCCTTGGGTTCGATGAGTTCACCAATGTCGGAAAGTTCGCTCCATTCCTTTTTGGCACTATCAAAAGGATATCTCGATTAGAAAGGAATCTGTGATGGGAAACTGCAATGTGGCTTACTGGTCAATCTCGCCTAACAAAAGAATCTGTGGTTTACTCATTGTGAAAATGGAAGATGGTTGAGTAGGACAAGAAAGAATGGAGGGGTGAAAGTTAAGAGGTATGTTGTGGTGGGGTAAATAGCTGCCCCTCCTTAATGATGATGAGAATGGACGTAGATTGCTTCCGATAAGACTTCTGGATGGTCGAAGGTAAGGAAGAAGATGGTTTATGGGAGAGATACTACGATGACTAGACTTTATAGAAGAAAACAAGTATTTTCAATCGAAGCAAGCGGATTTCAGGCCAAGATGCATATGTACTTAAATGATTGATGGGCTAGGTAGACTAGGAAATAAACTTACGGCAACTCACCAAGGGATTTCTAGATGTGAATTGCGAGCGACTTCGGGCCAGTGACAGAATTCAAGGATACATACCTACCCACTCCGTAGTATCTACCGTTGGTGGGGGTTGAGGGGAGAGAAACGTGGAGGTCAACAAGTGTGACAAGGGCGTCAAGTCAATTTAATTACTAAAAACAGCAATGTAATTACCCCCTTCCCTATCTAAATTTCCATAAGAAGTTATATTTTCCCCCAATCATTTGACTTTCTACTTCACTAAGAAGCTAAGCAATGTGTCATAATGGAGATTGTTCGGAATGCCGTTGACATCCGAGTCACATTACCATCAGTATTGATAAAATGGGGAAGTTCCGAGATTACTAATAGTACCAGGTAGTCAAGTTGCACATTTGTGGATCCGTTGTTGTAGATCCCAACAATCAAGATCATATTCCAGAACTATTTCCATGCCCATTTTCATGCCCATTTTCAATATGTTGGAAGTGAATGGTCGAGTAGGTATATCAAGAACTTTTCCATCCCATTTTTTGCATTCCCAGTACCTGTTAGTTCAGTCCAACCGCCGTGCGTATATCATAATCATACATAACATTGATCTTGTCCAAAGATATCTGTCATTTTATCTTCCAGACCTAAAATGTCTTGGTAACTTCGACAAATTGTCTCCATTGTCTGTAGGCCTCGCCACTCTTAATAGCCCATCGAGCTCTTCTTATACCTTCCTTCCATCTTCCTCCACCAGGTCCCCTCTCAGTGATAACCTTTCCATCATCCCCGTGGCCCATATCACTAGTATCCGCATCACAAATCCCCGAGACGACAAACAAAGCTGCAGTGTTCATGAGAACAAATTCCAGGATTGGATCATTGTCTGGTAGTTTGTTTTGAAGTAGGTTCATTAAGATTGCGGCGTTCTCATGAGGTTCCTTCCCTGGTGAAACATCCTTCAGGTCATGTGATGGAAGTCCAAAATCAGCAGCACAAATTGTGAAGCTCTCAATTTTGACATCATCATCAGAAGATTCCATTAATCTCCAGCAGAATGTCCGTCCTGCACAACTGATTTCGTCGAGGTCTTCTTCCCCACAAACAACCATGGCCTTTTTGGCACCGCTCATCTTGAGGGCATCTGCAAAGACAGGTCCAATATCTCGTCGAGCAACTCCCAAAAGTCGGGCTTCAATGCTGCATTCAACCGGATTGGCAAGGGGGCCCATCAAGTTGAAGATTGTTCTCCAACCGAGCTCCCTTCGGATAGGAGCAACATATTTCATACCAGGGTGGAAGACTGGTGCGAAAAGAAAAGCGTAGTTACTTTTTTCGTAAACTTTAGTGATAGTTTCAGGTGTCACCGCTGATAAGTTTGGTGCCGAAGGTAAAGTACAGCTGAGGAGATCTGCTGATCCTGACTTTGAAGTAGATGCTCTATTTCCATGCTTACTCAGAAGCAATAAAGATGAAGCCAAAATAGAGGATGTGGTTGAAATGTTAAAAGTGTGATGCGAATCTCCTCCAGTTCCAACGATATCGCACTAAACATGCATCAGAAAATGATTCCAAATCGATTTCAACATAATTTCCTGTGACAACATACCAATCCTCCCTTGTAGCCACCTTCTGGTTTTCCAACAGCTGCGACAACTTTGTCTAGAGCTTCTTTGTCAACTGGCGAGGCAGCTTCTCTCATAGCTTCGGCGCATTTTGCAAGAACGTCTGCTTTTCGATCCCATCCAGTAAAATGTAAACATGTGAGTAGAGCACCTGTTTGAACTGGAGATAATGAATCCGTAAAAATGTGTGAGATTGCTGAAGCAACTTCCGATGCCGTGACATTATTCTCTCCAGGTGAAGGCCACAGTCGTTTGAGTAGGGGCGTGATAGAAATGTCCCGAGGGGAAGGTGCGTATGCATTGTGCTCAGTTGGAGCAGCCATGACTGCTTTTTTATTTTGTCAAAGACTTCTGAACCTCAATGTGGCTATCACAGGAAGTTAAATATTCCCCTTGATACCCTTTTCAGTATTCTTTGTAACACTCGGGTCCCGGCTAAGGTAGATACCCTTTGGTTTTGAGTCACCACAATGAACTTTCATCGTTCGCCTTATACCTAAGGCAACAAGAAGAGATGCGCTAGTCCTCTTTAGAATTTCTCAAGCTCGTCCATCTAAATTATATGCCCGCATATATTTGTCCAACAAGTCTTTTTCACAGGTATGTACAGCCAATTGTGTCACATAAATGATACCGGCGATTGTTTAGACTAATCGATACTCATAGAATGCGTCCACGAATACATACGCCGTCAAAGGCAATAGCCTCCATCCTCCGATGTAAAAGGACTCCCCTCCGAAATCGACAATATGCCACCGCCGCAGCAGCGTTCACACCAGCTGCTTCGCACGAGCAAATGACTAGAGCATCTCCTCCCATATCTCGCTTTCCCTCCACCCAACCACCATCCTACAAACCTCCCGAGTTCCGCAAATCTCAACTCCTCAGAAAATATGCCTCACTACTTCGCTCAACACCCCTCATGCTCCTCTTCCAACACAACAACCTCAAAGCTATGGAATGGGTAGCCATCCGTCGCGAACTCGCCATTGCTCTCCGAAAAGTTGATGCGGCCCGCGAGGCAGAAGGTCAACCTCACCTCAACCTCGCAGATGGTATTAAACTCGAAATCGTACAAACAGGAATTCTCGCCGCCGCTCTCCGCATCGTCGAATTCTATAAGCCTGATTCCCAAGTTTCAAAGTTAGATCCCACACATCCAGCAACTCCTTCTTCTGCGACTTTACCAATTGTAAATGCAAAGGGTGATGGGTTGACACATACTCTCTCGAGCGCGGCTCATGAAGCTATTTCGGATAGGAAAATCAAGAATGCCCATGATTTGTCACCGTTATTGGCTGGCCCAGTTGTACTTCTAACGTTTCCTGGTGTCTCGCCTCAACATATGAAGACGGCTTTGACCATTTTGGCACCTAGCGCTCCGTTGTTCCCTGCTCCTAAAAAGAGGGTGAATCCAGGGTGGCATGATCCTACAGTTCAGAGTGGGTTACAAAAGTTATTGTTACTAGGAGCGAGAGTAGAGGGTAAGGTGTTTGACGTTGATGGTACCAAATGGGTTGGAAGCATTGAGGGTGGTCTGGACGGTTTACGAGGCCAGTTGGTGGCTATGTTACAAGGCATTGGTGGTGGAATTACAAATACTTTGGAGAGTGCTGGAAAGAGTCTATACTTCACTGTTGAAGGTAGAAGGTCGATGCTGGAAGATGAGGCAAAGGGACCTTCTGAAGAAACTCCCAAGGAGTAAATCCAACCAAATAATGAAAAAGCATGTAACGGAATGTATTATATCTGTAAGAACGGAATATTGGTTTATGGACCATTTGCATCGTAAATCTTGAAAGCATAACCATTTCTGGTCTATCTCCCGTCTATGAAGGGGGATCTGAAGGACGATCTTTCTCTCTAAGCTCCAGCTTTGCATTCATTGCCAAGATACACCTCACCAAGTCCCAGTCCCCATCTGTTCCGACCCAATCACAAACCACAATTCCCGTACTACCATCACCTATACTTGCACTATCTGGCTGCTCACTGGAAGTTGTTTCACTATGCCTTCTGCATAGATAATCAACGATCACGGGATTGACCTTTTCTGCAATCTTGTCTGGCCAACAGTTCGCTCTCCAAAAGTTTGAGGCACTCAAGAAATTCATAAAGAATGGTTGTTTTGCCGATTCAGTGCTAGCAACACCCATATCTTCAGACAGCACGGCAACGGTTTTAGCTGCTCTTTCGAGCTGATCTGTGGAATATCCAATCTTCTTCTCGATATTTGAAGACTCCGCAACCTCGTAGAAGTCTTGTACTCGGATTTCTCCACTAGTACATACACCGTCTGCACAGTTGTCTGGCCAACTTTCTGCATCGATATATAGACCTGTTCCATTGTTTTCGCCTTTTAAGGAGTCATCTAGGCCGAAGCGACGTATAACAACAATCTTCCCACGAACTTCTCCCAGAGCTGGAATGCGATTACCTGTAAACCAGCGAGTAGAATCCTGGGTATAATGATGATTGAGGATTTGACTAAGTTGTTGATCCGTAGCCTTTCCAACACCTTCTCTTTTTACAGACATTATAACTGTTTCCGTAGGATTCGCATCCAGAAATACTTTTACATGGTTGACTAAATCTCGAAAGTATTTGTGGCCTGTAAGGGAGACCGGAAAAGCGCTATGAACGAGAATTAGACCCTCTGCAGCAGGATCATTGGGATCCTGTGGCTGAACTCGTATATCGAGGAAACGAATACCATTATTGAGTTGCTCCTTCACACTGACAGCTTGACAGCGTACGGAAGGTAATGCGGCGTGGTACGTTGGAGAATTATGTGTACCGGGTATACTGAGAGCGGCTAAGGGAGTTTCGTCTTTGAGATTGGACATCCATGATGATAGTTTAGCTGAGGAGAAGATTGCGAGAAAATGGTATTTGGGTAGATATACACCTGTAAATTCATAGGTGGGATTGTGCGAAAGAGGTGTAAGAATGGTTGAGCGATGCAATGGGGTTGGGGTATCAATTCGATATCGTTCGCCATTTGTCTCGAATGTTAATCGCAAGACTTGATTTCCTTGGGGTTCTATATCTGTAACTTTGGTTTCAAATGGAGCAATTGGTATTGAAACATCCTGACGACTGAAGCTTTCGGCTTTTTCTGCTAATTGTGGTGAGGTTGGAGTGCTGTTAAGGTACATGAACCCAGTGAGACTTCTGGTTATTCTGGTGATATTTACCCCGCTAGCTTTCCCTTCTGCAGATTCAAATCGTTCCAGTGATTTTAATTCGAGTGGAGTCGTAGAGAGATTCCGTATTGTCAGTGCTGGTGGTGCCATGATTGTGCAGGTGTAAATAAAGTAGGTATCTAATTGTGTAGTTGAAATATGGTTATATTATGACACGATGGTTCCATTCTATGGTTTGTCTCTTGTTAGTAGAGATTCATGAGATACTCGAAAGATATCATGCTCTCGGCGAAGTGTAATGTATCTTAGACAATATTTAGCGATAGATAAGGAAAGAGAGAACGCTGTAATAGCTTGACGTCTAATTGCATTTTGAACAACAACGGGGTCCAAGTTTGATATGTTTAAAAGTTCCGAGGTTGATGTAGATATCAAAGATTGACTGTGAATAACAATCGGTAGATGGTCGGGTAGCACAGCACATGGTTGTCTCAGGATTAATAACTAGGTTTATATTGTCAAAATGGCGACCCACATACAACAATCAAGCAACAAGCAACAAGCAAGTTGGCGCAGTGGAAGCGCGCCGGGCTCATAACCCGGAGGTCCCCAGATCGAAACTGGGACTTGCTAGCTTATTCTTTTGGATTTTTTGAGTCTTAAATCCCTCTTTGAGATTTTCCTGTGTCCTTCTGGCACAGTCGAAATAACTTTTGCTAAAAATTGCAATAAAAAGTTGTGGTTTGTTATCTAACAACCTATAACTACCTACGTATGGCCCGTGCATACTCCATCCAACTATCAAAAGGTAAAGACTTCAAAAAATTCTGTGTTTTTGACCTATGCCCTCACAAGCCAACACAACCATTGTTCCATGGCCTTGTATTTGATTGATCCAATCCAACCTCCCACATACACGTTCCCGTTAGCTGTCTTATAAATTCTGATAAAGTATACTTAGCTCAGGTTAATCTACTTCAACTGTGGATCACAGAGCCCACAAGAGGCTCCGTCTCTGGTGGACTTTGTGGAGCTGATCTTTGTGTGTGATTTTACTCGAGTGAGTAAACAAAGCATTCGATTTAAATTCTTACCTCTGGAGAACAATGTCTCATTATTCCTTCTAGTAGTGACAAGTGTTTGATAGAACCCGAGAGAGTGTTTATATTGAGATATAGTCTGTCCCATTCGACGGGAGCCTTCAAAGTTGGATGAGATCCCACTTGGTAACGCATCCTGTCCGACCTGATATGGATGTTGTGCGAATCGAAAAATGTGAGCTAAGGCAAGTAACTTCTTATTGATGACGTAAATGAAAGTCGGCCGGTGAGACTCCATGGATCATAATTAGTTTTGATCAGGCATTTCTTCATCCTCGATGTAATCTTCAACCTCGTCTTCGTCTTCACAATCATAACAATCAATACAGCCATCATAGTGGCCAAGTTGCTCACCTGAGATATCATATCCGGGGTCAGAATCGTCCAACAGCTCCCGGTATACTTGCTGACTCACCGCCTTCCATTGTCTTTCGTTCTTAATATTGGCATCGAACAAATGTTCTGTTCTCCAGCGTTGAGTTTCGCCTTGCTCTGCATATTCGGGGTCTACTCTAGCGCAGCGTTTCACGTCCTTGATAGCTTCGACTGATCGTTCTGGTCTTTTGCGATACTGTTGTGCAAAATCAGTAAGGTGTACAATCGGATGCTCGCACACATTGGGAACCAACCTCTATAAGTTCTTCTGCGGTGAGTACAGCAGCATCGATCCAATTCAAGCTCTCTCGATACAACATTCCACATAGAGACATCACTGCATGTGCAGCCTTCCAATCCTTTCTTGGTGAGAATTCGAGAATACCACTGGCTTTGCGTAGAGTAGCACGCTCTCTAAGGCTTGCATAGGATCTGAAGCTGTTTCCCTCGTGTCTTTCCAACAAGATCTTCTGAGCATTGGCGATTGATCTCCTTACCAGGAGTTCATTGCGGGCCAGTTTCTGAGAACGGAGTGCCGGCTTTATGACAGAAATTACTGCTTCAAAACCTTTGATATCTCGCGCCTTTTTCTCTACCCTTGCTGCTTCCTTTTTTGTTAAAACGGTTTTCAGCACGGCTGCAAGTGTTCGGCAACCTGGTTCGACGTCCTTGAGGGCTAAATCTTGTGCTTTGATAATAAAATAAGGAGCAGTCTATGATGATTCTCTTTTGCTTAGATTTTTCTTTTCCACATGATTTTCCCCCTTTTACCTCTTATAAAACCCTGCAAACTCCAAAGCTTCAGTTTGGGCCTTCCCTCAAATTCTTCGATACGACCAGGAGTCTCATACATTACTTTCACTGGCAAAAACCACCCACGATTAACGCTCATTCTATCTCATTGTATACGTGCAGCTCTTGCTATTGGATTCAGCCAAAGCAAGTCGACCACGTCTATAATATAGTCTACGAGCTATACGACGTCTCATGTACTGTGACGTGTAAAAAGCCTAATGTAAGCTAAGCACACTGTTCGGTATCAGAAATGGTATGCGTGGATACAACATAAGTGTTGGACCAGATTGAAAAGGATCAGATTTGACTGATAAGGTGGTTGAACCAGAGCAAGTAAGTGGTGCCATAGCGTGGTCAATCAAAGTTCTAGACTTGGAAACTACGACGAAATAATGACCTAAGTTGCAACGCATGGATTCTCTTCCACATCATGTGCGTTGTTTGCTCTAGTATCCTGAGATTCTTAGCTTCCCACTACACGTTCATTAGTCGCATATAAAACACGGAGACTGTAAGGGATGTATTACATCGAGAACCTCTTCTACGGTAAGGTCAGCAGCATCGGTAATGCGGATACTGCCAGTCTTGACCATATCACCGATAATATCGGCAAAGGGTCTGTGATTACTCAGTTTCATCTTCTCAAATGTCATCGGGACGATATACCAATCTTCTAGAGCCTCAAACTTTTGGATCACATGGAGAACACCTTCTTTGAGTGCTTTCTACTCTGTCTGAAAGCTCTCAGTATACAAATCAAATAAAGATGGGATGTGTCGCAGATTTGCTGTCACAAACATACCACACGTTGGAGGTCCGCCCTCAAGACGTTCCGGAAAGCTTTAGCCATGATCTCAAGATCGAAGTTGTCAAATAGACGGCATGGTCCTTTGTAATCATTGACATGAGTAGCGAGATCGGCCATTCCTTGCGCTTTGTATCGCTCGGGGTCTTTGGAGAGCATTTTAATACTATACAAGGTCAGTCAGTGTTCAACCAAATTGAATCAAGTAGGGGAAGTGCTTAATACGCGTCAACAAGTATACAATGAGCTGGAGATTTATACCTACTGGAGCCGCTGGAGCCTGTTGATGCAGGAGAGAACATAGTCAATGGTGCGCTTTGAGACTGATGATTTTGTGGTGTGGCTTGACGTTGATGATTAAGGGAGGTAAATCGAGATATAAAACACGGCCAGCAAGCTCGAAAGTGATTATCAGTAATTTTCGAGATGGAGAACTAGATCGGATAAGACAATTCGTGGTGGAAAGTGGAAGGATTCGAGGATATTATTTCTCGGAGTGGAAAATGATAGGAAATGGTTTAAAGAAGAGTAGGAAGTTGGAGGGGAGAGAATTCTTGAATAGACCTCTCTCAAACTTTAAGCGAGATATTGAGGAGCAAGTAGCTAGTGAATATGAAAATGCTAAAGTACTTTGTGACCTACAGTTTTCTTCAAGCTTCACTTTTATGCTTTTGCTTTCCGGAAATACTTTCTCAGATTCATACCTGGACAGACACTTTTTGGATCGCAGGGCAATTAAACTCACGAAAGTGAAACGTCAACCGATCCAGCGCAGCAATCACCGCTTTAGACTTCTTAATGGCCAGGTCTTGAGCTTCAATCAAATTATCCCACGATTAGTCGGAGAGGCTCAACCAACGTTCATTTTAATCTGCTACAGATAGACGATTTACCTACCAGCTTTTTGTATTTGGCGGAAAAAGCAGACAAGATAGTCATGCGAGCTTTCCAAGATTCTTCCTGGGTATGTTTGGCAAACAAAGTTCCGTTGTATCTGGCTGCTATATCAACTGCATCCACGAGACTCATACGTCCAACCGGAAATTTGATTACGAGCGTCTTTTTTGCTGGAGGCGCATTCAAACTATATGTGTGACGTTAGACCGAGAAGACACGACAGGGGAGAGAGACAACACACATGTCAGATCCAGACCGCTTGATACGAATTGAAGACATAGTGTCGGTAGATTGATCTTGTAGCAAGACGTGGGTTGGGAATAGGTCGAACTGGGTGGCGGTAGTAAAATCCAATACCAAAGAGAGAAATTGATGGATAGAAGCGATCTTGTATGTGACTACTTCAAGAAGAAGTGGAGGCGGCAACGGACAGTGCTATGAGATAGTTGTTACCGCCAGATCGTGAGAGAAGCGGAACTTCCGAGGTAAGAACAGGCGATGCCGTAGTATATACGACACCTAGAAGATTGTGGAAGGTCGGAATCTCCAATCCGACTATCGTCTTTGTGACTGAAGAGCAAAGCAAGTTGAAAGCAAGATAGACCTTCGTAAAAGATGTGGAAGTTGCAGAAAGAAGATGTGATCACAATGTCGAAAGTGATACTCAAATACTCACTCTCTTCGGAATTAAGCGAGACGATGAGGATAAAAGTGAGTTCGGGATCTGAGTAAATTTACTCTAACAGCTACCTACAATATAGTCATGTGATAAACTGAAGCAAGTAGGCTCGAAAATTGCTATGAAATTTTATACCAAATGCAATCATGTGCATTGAGTATCTTTTGCCAAACCCTTGATTGGCTAAAAATCTATATTCTAATGTATACATTCATAGCAACCTTCCCAAGGGGTCGATTCTGACTTCAATATTTGTCAGAGATGTTCTGAACTGATAGACTGGATGCAAGCTCTCAATATTTGAAGTAGTGCATTGTTCAAAGTAGATTCGACATTTTAAACCATTTGAATCATCTAATTAGATTAATATTGCAAGCTTCTGATTGTCGAACTGCAATCCGGACCATTGAAACCCCTGATATTCGCTCTGATGAACAAATTGATAATGGAAACCATGCGGTTTTCCTTACTAAAGCGCAACTAGAGAGGAGTAATATCAGCCTCATTCGCTTCAGCAAAGAGGTGCATGCTAAAATATAGGCATGTAAGGTCCTCGCTGGAAGAGTGGTTACTTCTGTCAACCCAAAGATGAGTCGGAATCGAGATGCCAATCCTTGCTTTTGATATAGGCGATATTGATCACCCTTTTCAAGCGAGAGTGAATTTTTTGAATTGGAATAGGAGTAGATGCTTGCTGCCCATTCCAAAATCGCTTTTAAATGGTTAATCCGAACGATAGCAGCGGATATTCCTTTGTTGGTAGAGAGTTTACTACCTCACCACCTCCTTCGTGATAACTCTATAGAGCGTGGAAGCATCTGATCTACTGTAATCGACGACGTAATTGTCACTGACAACCTTGCCAATGGGAAAAGTTTGTTTCGTACTAAAACAAGCAAGATTTGGGACTAAGTTGAGGCGCATTCAAGACATTGCGCTTCACGCTCATCAGGTTACAGCAAGGCAGCGTCGCAGACTAACTGGAATTAGTGACCGTTCAATAAACAAGTTATTTCGTCCGAAAGCCCGTGGCTTCAAAAAAGATAGTCTTAGTTCAATTTTGAGATTTTGTTGTTAATCTGTTGATGCGAGGAAAACCCATAGATCAAATCGCTTCGCGAAACTTTCACCGAGCTTCGACTCTCAAGACTTGCGACTATCACCACATCAACCCCCACCCGAGCTGTCCCATAAACAAAACACCACATATCGTACCAACCATGGAGCAAAGACAAAATATCGAAGGCGCAACTGCTCCATTTCCTACCAACCCCGAAGAATTTGATTCCGACGATCGCATATCATTTTCGAAGCTCGACCAGAAATACCTGCTTGTGCAAGACGATGGCACAGAATTCGAATTCGATGATGCGATCAAACGATGGATACCGGTATTAGACGAGGCATTATTGGAAGAACAGCAGAAGGCATATAAAGTATCTGGAGTAGATGAGAGTGAGCCAGTTGATGCTATAAAGAGGAAAAGGAAGCAGGAGTATGTCAATGGCGAGGATGTAAGTCAATTTTAGGCTTCATTTTTGAGATGGATTCATGATTGTGCACCCATTTTACCAGCTTTTTACACATTTTTATGTCTACTTATCTTGGTTTGGTATGCGAGACCTAGCTGGAGCTTATGCAATTATCTGCATCTTTAATTTCATTCATTGTCTTCAATGCTGAGTCTACCTAGGAGGGTGGCCGAATGGTGAAAGCCCCAAAGAAAACCAAAAAACCTCTACCACCACGGGCAAACACCGCAGTCTATGTCACTGGTCTGCCATCAGATGTTACTGTTGAGGAAGTTCACGAAGTCTTTTCACGGAAGTGCGGTGTTATCGCCGAAGAGATCGACAGCGGAAAACCAAGAATTAAGCTTTATACAGACGAAAAAGGAGAATTCAAGGGCGATGCTCTTATCGTATTTTTTAAGGCACCTTCTGTGCAGATGGCGATAATGTTACTGGATGATACAGATTTTAGGATGGATGGAGGCACATCTAAAGAGAGAATCAAGATGCGGGTTCAGGCTGCAGAGGCGAGCTACAAGAAGGTTCAACAAACAGACGCAGATGGAAATGAGAAAGAGAAACCTAAGACCAGTATGAAGGACAAGCAGAAGATTATCAAAAAGACTCAGAAATTGGATGCGCGACTGGCAGATTGGAGCGATGACGAGCCATCAGCCCTTGTGGAAACTAGCTCGAAGTGGGATAAAGTCGTTATATTGAAACATATGTTCACCTTGAAAGAGCTAGAAGAAGACCCAGCTGCAATGCTAGATATCAAGGAAGATATTCGAGATGAGTGTGGCAAGCTCGGCGAGGTAACGAATGTGGTTCTATACGATTTGGAGAAAGATGGAGTTGCGAGTGTAAGATTTGCAAACGCCGAATCAGCGAAAGCATGCGTTAAGTTGATGAATGGGCGAAAATTTGATGGTCAAGAGGTCGAAGCTTACATTACGGATGGAAAGGAGCATTTCAAAAAATCGAAGAAGAAAGCAGATGGTGAGGATCATGGAGAGTCAGAATCAGACTGATTAGATTGGGAGTGAGGCATAGGTAACTTGAGTATGATTATTGTCGTGAGATGAAACTCGCAATATTGGCTACCAGTATCACCATTGGTATGAACAGAGAGTTGGATGCAGATTTATATTAATACTAATAATATCTTACTTGACCAATGTCTTCTTCTTCTTCTTCTTATCTGACTTGCAAACGCTCTCGACTTTTCTATCAGAAATTCTTCCCAAGCTTCCGGAGCTTCCCCTGTTCCCGTCCTAGCCGTTCTGCTAGAATAACCCCTAACTGCCCTGCCAGCTATCACTAGAGAAGCCGATTGGTTACCAGATCCACATTAAACCCTCGTACCTGGCTTGCGAAATTATCAAATTTATTGCCAGACCGACATAAGAGTAAACACTCCTTTTTATTCTTCACAAGAAGTGAAACATACGTTCATTCCATTCACAAATTCCCATCATGAAGCTCCTCACCTACGGAGCCATCTTTGGTCTCCTCACTGCTCTCTACTACTATTTAGATGCACGTCTTGAATCTTTCTACATCTTTACTCCCACCCAACTTCATGATCTATCCCAGCGCGCCATTGGTGCTCATGGTAATGATACCGCTCAGGTGGTGAAGTTCATTGTGGACGAATTGAGTGAGAAACATCCCGGTGGTTATATCAATTTGGACCAGGAATGGATTTTTAATAATGCTGGCGGGGCTATGGGTGCTATGTATATTATTCATGCTAGTAAGTTCCCCATGAGGTCACGGGTCTAAGGTTGGGCTAGTTTGAGGAGACAAGAGTGCTAATTGGCTTTATAGGTATTACGGAATATTTGATTATTTTCGGTTGGTTCGCCCATGGGTAGATTCAGAGTTTGAGTGGGGATACTGACTGTGCATAGGAACTACAATCGGTACTGAAGGTCATACCGGTCGTCACACAGCTGATGATTATTTCCATATCATTCACGGAACTCAACTCGCCTACACACCTGGAGACTTCGAACCCGAAGTCTATCCTCAAGGAAGTGTGCACCACCTTCGTCGTGGTACTGTTAAGCAGTATAAGATGGATGCGGCTTGTTTCGCTCTCGAGTATGCTAGAGGTTGGATCCCACCTATGTTGGGCTTTGGATTTGCCGACGGTCTTACCAGTACTTTGGACTTCCCAACTTTGTGGAGAACAACTTGGGTCACTGGTCGAGAGATGGTTTTGAACCTCGCCAGGTTCAAGCTGTAGAAAGCTTTGTTTCCATTCGGATCACGATTTGAAGGTTATTGAAGAGGAAAGGATGATTTATAGAGCTCTTGTAAGCAAGTACATAGCACTTCTTTGTCTGTAGATACCTATAATCTTGTAATAATTTGACATGCGCATCATGGAGCAACATGATCAAGCATAGCGCCTTTTGGAAATAGTTTCACCTACTACATTTATCCTGCAATTTTCGTGATAATTTCCGGCTTATTTAAGAGTTCTCTCTCTCTCTCTCTCTCTCTCTCTCTCTCTCTCTCTCTCTCCAATTATACTTGTATTTGTCCACCCCAAACTCTCCATAGAAACTCCTCACAACATTCAGTCAGAATCCTCGTCAGATCCATAATTTACCAGCCCTAGTCCTTTGTTGGATGAAGGAGGTGATGGCTTTTTGACTGCCACCGGCTTGGGTGCTACCATTGCAAGCTTTGGGTCCGAGATTTTGGCCGAATCTTTAGAAGTCGGTGGCTTAGTATTCGTTGCAACTGAGTCAGAATCATCTTTCGCAGGTTTCGTCGGCAGGTCTTTGGTAGACGTGGAAGATGAAGCTCTCCTAACTTTGATTCCCTTTAATACCTCCTTATCCTTCGTACGCTTGCGCTTTCGACCCGTAGTGCCCCATTCATCCTCCCGCACCGGAGAGCCATCTTGTATTTGTGCTCCATCATTATCTGCTGCTCTAGCCTTCTTGTCTGCATCTTCTTGTTGTTTTCTAAATAACTCTAGTCCCTCCGCGGTTTCTTTTCGCACTCTGTCTTCTTCAGCCCTCGTACTTTCTAGAACAGAATCCAAGAACTCGATTTCATCTTCATCTAATGATCGGAATTGATTCTTGAGTTTATTGGCTTCTTCGAATGCATCTTGTTTGGCAGCTGGTTTATTCAACGCACCCCTAAGTGATCAGCCTAAGAAATCAACGCGTGGGCGGGTGCAAGGACCCTAGATGTGTACCTTTATTTGCTTCTAGGATCTCGAACAAGCTCTTTCCATCTTGTTGTCTAGCTTCGATAGCTTTTCGCTGTCTATTAGCCTCTATTTCTTGTTGAGCGGCTAACCATTCATCACTGCGCTCAGTTGGAGCATCTGCGGTACCACCTGATACAAATCCGGAGGACATTGTGGTTTTGGTTGTATGCGCACGAATGGTACAGAGGCGTCTAGTTTCTAGTTTCTAAGGTTCGTGAGATTGCGCCGACAAGGTTTCTCGACATCACGTGTGTGACGTTTCCACTCCCCGCCATCTCCCCCGCCACGGAGCAATTTCGCACTTTGGGACGGAATTCTACAATTTTCTGAATTGATACAGATTAGTGAGGTTCTAGAAGTCAACATAGCATTTAGGCTAAAGTCTGTCCTCCAATCCAAGTTAGATCCATCTTTTGTCATACAAACGCTGTACGGAATCCAATATTTGCCTCTCAAATCTGTCAATTGGGAAGTTTTTTCAAGCTATGATGGGGGATTCTGACGTAGGAAATTACTAGGGATACTCTCAAACGGCATTGTAATACATGATTGGTGCGCATGTCAATCTTCCTTCGGTTCAATATAGCCTGAAGTGGGATTGCCCCTCCATACTCCACTTAGCGACAGAGAACCTTCTACCAGAGCCCCTCATTGTGCAGCGGATTATCTTTGAATTTCACCTATCGGCAGGTTGAACTTCTTCATATGGAATAGAGATAACCCGGAGGTAAAGTATTTTGTGGAAATTCTATAGGTTGTCGTCATCCGGTATCAAACAATCCTCATGCACGGCTTTCTGGGTCAAGTAAAGGTATAAGTATTGACTTTGTCCTCCCAATTAATTGTCTTTTTTCTCTTATTCCATCTATTTTACACTCAAAGCATCTAACAAACTTACAAACCGTAAAAATGTCTGCAAATAACGTTACCTCGTAAGTGCTTCCATTTCGACCCCTTGATAGGAATTCACGTCAAAAGCAGAAGTCTGCGCAGACTGGCGACTGTCACATCCCATTTTAAACCAATTCGTACCATAAGCTCACACACTATGCCTCTATCCAGAAAGACTTTCACTCTCAACACTGGTGCTAAGATTCCAGCTATTGGTCTCGGCACATGGCAATCACCACCAGGTGAAGTTGAAAAGGCTGTAGAGATTGCTCTTCGCAAAGGTTACAGACACATTGATACAGCTGTAAGTCGATGAACATATTGTAGCATCAGATCGAATTCTGACAGATTGTTAGCTTGCATACGGAAACGAATCTGAAGTTGGTCAAGGTATCAAGGCATCTGGTGTCCCAAGAGAAGAGATTTGGCTTACTACCAAACTCGACAACCCATGGCACAAGAGAGTTCAGGAAGGTATTGATTCTTCCTTGAAGTCTCTTGGTACCGATTATGTCGACTTATACCTTATGCATTGGCCATCATCTACCGACCCAGATGACTTGAAGAAGCACTACCCAGATTGGGACTTCATCAAGACATGGCACGAAATGCAAAAGCTCCCTGCCACTGGCAAAGTAAAGAACATTGGTGTATCGAACTTTGGTATTAGAAACTTGGAGAAGCTCCTCAGCGACCCAGGAACCACCGTATGTCCAAGCTCCGTTGTTTGTCCATTGTTCCTCCATTCTAACTATCACGTAGATTGTTCCAGCTGTTAACCAAATCGAGCTCCACCCAAACAACCCTTCCCCCAAGCTCGTTGCATACAACACATCAAAGGGTATCCACAGCACCGGTTACTCATGTCTCGGTAGCACAAACTCGCCTCTGTACAAGGACCAGACCTTATTGTCTCTCGCAGAAGCAAAAGGCAAGACTCCACAACAAGTACTTCTTGCCTGGGGTATTCAAAAGGGATGGTCTGTCATTCCAAAATCCGTCAACAAGGAACGTGTTGAGAAGAACTACGAGCTTGATGGTTGGGAATTGACCAGTGAGGAAGTTGAGAAATTAGACAACCTGAAAGATAGATTCAAGGTTTGTGGAGATGCTTGGTTACCTATTAAGGTCTTCTTCGGCGATGACGAGTAAAGGATTTAATTGTTTATAATTTAGAGATACCATGAAGTAATTGAATATAGAGCTTCTCATGACCATTTCGTAGTTTGTACTCTTGAAACATGTCTTACAACAACTTGTCATCGTAGCTCGTGATGACTCTGGAGTTTGGGCTAAATTATGTACATTACGCCATGAACCGATGTATTTGAACAAATTTGATATTTTACTATCATGAAATAAATAAACAATTGTTGGTTTTCAAAGAGAAGTCGGGGATACTATGATAAAGAAGCAAGTTGCATCATAGCCTCGGTAAAATAAATTCCATCCCCAAGCTCCTTCATCCACAATTGAACATCATCAACTCGAGTCTACACAATATGCATATCACGATAACATCATTATAGCCCTCTTGTAGGGGCTTCTCAATCATCATGACTTGTCCGTTCTGCAGCATAGCATCCAACTACCCACCATCCTCATCTCTCGCAAATCCAGATCTTACCACTCCATCTGCATTCGTAGTCCTCAGCACACCTCAGTGCATGGCATTTCTCGATATTATGCCCCTTTCCCCAGGACATCTACTAGTCACAACTCGTAATCACAACGAAAAATTATCGGACGTGAGTGAAGAAGAAGCGCGAGAGTTAGGCGAATGGCTCCCGAGACTATCTCGAGTGTTAGCTAAGGTCACCGGTGTGTGGGACTGGAATATTGTTCAAAACAACGGTGAGTTACCCCGGGATTCATGTCTTGGAAGTTCCGGCGCATTTGGGGCTATAGCTAGTTCCATTATGGATATCTGGTAGAACAACGGAATGGAGAAAACGATGCTAATGATGGCGATAAATATAGGAGCGGCTGCAGCGCAAGTGGTACCGCATGTACATTTTCATATTATCCCGAGACCCGGGCTAACTCCCGAGTTACGCAATCGATCTTTTACGATGTTTGGGAGGGGGCAGAGGAGTGAGTTGGATGAGGATGAAGCTAAGGTTTTAGCGGCGCAGTTGAGGGAGGAATTGGGGAGAGAGATGGAGGGAATTGGGAAGGGCAAACTATAGAAGGCGTCATTGAATATACCAAGCATATATGCGAGATTGAAATAGGAAATTGAGATATCCGTACCTGGGAACTGTCAATTAATGCATTAGAGCAAAATATGGGTTGGGGAAGACAGTAAATTGTACAATAAAGATGGGACGCACAGGGACGGTATGCATATACCGGTTGGACACAATACAAAGGTTCTTTTAAGGCTCTGCTGAAGTTTTGGAACGTACTTGGATCTCGGATTATGATAAACGCAATACTTGGAGGGTGGCAGGAGTACGGCACCGAGTGCACCGAAAAGGGAGCAACTAAGCAGCCACTAGTCAACAAGAACAAAGGACAGCTCACGGTACTTAACCATGTCTCTCTTCTCCTTCCAACTATCAAGCATCAAGGACAAGTGTTCATCAATAATCGATGCATGTCTGGTCCTTTGAAAGTTTCTTGGACTTGGAAACACTTGGCCCCTCTTGCTGTTTCCAAAATGACTTCTTTCTTGCACCTGCCATCGTTTTGCTGACGTTTTCACCCGTCAAGTTTCCACCTTGTTTGTCATTGACTGCATTCTTTTCAGGGGCATTTGGACACAAACCTGAGAATTGACCTAAGAGACATTTGACATCTCTCCGTATTCGTACATAGAAGTTCTAGATTTTCTCGACTCATGATCTTGACACATACATCTCAGCGGTCTGCAAGCCATTTTCCATCCTTATGATTCCTCAATATCTGAATTTCTGGTTATCCTTACCCACGGAGATTCTCTTGAACCTTGGATTAGACTTCAAAGCATCATTTGACAGATTGATTGATGTTTATTTGAAAACAGTTTAGGAGACGACACCACTAATCTGCCCACATTCCAGCTATTTACTGTTGTATTTGGGGCAAAGGAGTCGAGGTTCTCCGGTGTTTAGAAGTCTCCAAGAACAAAAACATTGGCGAAAGCCAAGTGCTGTGTATAGTGTCGGCCCAAGTGTGTTATTGTAAAGGAGAATGCTTTGAGATGATTCTAGAAAGTTATCATGCCCAAGAGTCTTGGGACTGATTCCTTTTCGAATATCGCCAAGTTCCAGGAATGTGGGGAATTGGGAATGGAACACAAGTCAACAACAGACGACACCGCTAGATGGACAGTGAATGACAGCTGTTTCTTAGGCTTGTTATGATTATGAATCTATCATGGATGTCACTTCAAGCCATCATTCGACCGGGGCTTCTTATTATGCTCATCTGGGCAGTGTAGGTAGGTAATTTTGTTTGTCATTTCATTTTCAGAGGCATGGAAATATCTTGATATCAAGAAGTTGGTGCGCCATGTGGCGTCCACATACCGGATATTCACTTTGGAAACTCATTTGAGTGAAGAAGTTGGAGACTTGAGAGTCATAAATTCATTCTTTAAGATTCATCAATACCTCCATCAAAGTAGTGGCGAGTATCTGGGGCCCCAGGTTCCTATGGTGATTTGCACTTTCCTACACCACATGATAAGATTCAGAAAAAGAAAGAGCAACTTCAAGCATCATTATAATCACAATAACCTCGTACAACTATCAAGCTTCACGGACTGTAAGACATCCGCGTCGGAATCAAGTAATACAAATCTCAGAATTCAATACGTCATTGACAGATCCAATCACCATTCAAATTACTCTCAAATTTCTCTATATCTCCCCCTCAATCTCCCCCAAAAAGTGAATTGAAGGTCCGATTAAGGCTCCTGCCTCATTTTATTTTAATCTTAAGTCTCGATTGAGTGATATAGCCGAGTAATATCCTCAAGAGACGGGACACTGTCATCAAAATCCACGTGGAAATATTTTGGGAATATAAACAAACGTTCAACCGCCTTCCCCTCCTCCTCTTCTTCCAAAAACATTACAATCTTTCAACCAGATCTTAGATCTCCTTCTATACCCACAGTCTTTACCAAGCTCTACTTCTAGTGCTTGATACCTAGATATTTCTTAATTCGTCCTCGTTTCTTTGGACGCGCCATTCACATCTCACATCTTGTCGATTTACCAGAGTCACATAACTCAAGTTTCTATAATATCGCCAAGATGCGTTTGCAATTTGCTTTGGCTATGCTATTTGCCTTGATGGTAACAGCATCTCCAATCACTGACCTTCTCAATCGCCTCAAGCGCCAAATCATCCAAACCTACGATGTCACCGAAGTCATCTATAATTCCAATGGGAAGCCAGTCGCAACAACCATCCTCCATGTCACCACTACCGTCTACCCTTCCACCACATTGGCACCAGTCCCAACTGCGACTCCCACAGACTATGTTTCGACTGCTTTGTATCACCACAATATCCATCGCGCCAATCACTCTGTTCCTCTCCTTAAGTGGGACACAAAACTTGTTGCATCCGCTCAAGTTCTTGCTGCAACATGCAAGTGGGGTCACAGCATGTGAGTACTTTTCTGGGTCACCTCTGTCTTACCAACACTAATCCTTCTTTAGGAATATCAATGGCGGTGGATATGGACAAAACATTGCTGCATACGGTTCCACCAATGCTAAGGCTCTTGGTGCTAACAAGGAGATGGCTGTCGCTGCTACAAACATGTGGTACAACGGAGAACAACCAACCTACTTTCCTTCTTACTATGGTCATAACAACCCAGATTTGACCACCTTTGAAGATTGGGGTCATTTCACTCAGATGGTTTGGCTTGGTACCAATTCTGTTGGTTGTGCAACTCAACTTTGTCAACCGATGGACATTTGGCCAAGTATGCCAGCTTGGTATACTGTCTGCAATTATTCTCCACCAGGTTTGTTCCTCATCTTGATCCTCAGTTTATATCTTTTCACTAATCTTTCTCCTTCAGGAAATATGGGCGGTCAATATGGCGTCAATGTCTTCCCGCCTCTTCGTCATCCCTCCGTCAACGTTATCAACGCTTAAGCAATTAAGCAGCGATGATCTGCACCCCGAGACAATTTTTCGACTTTTCATAATCGACAACTCAGTGCGATCATTTCGCTTCTCACGAGACCACGACAAACTTTCCAGTGTTTCACGAAGGAGCGCCGTTTACGTGTTTACATGAATTTACGTCTCCATTTCCATTTTCGCTTTTCGCACAAAAGCAATAACTGCCTCGTCACCTTTTCGTCGACCTTTCCTATTTCATAGAGCTTTTTTTCGCCCGCTGTCTTTTCATCGCGTCATTTGAAACAAACTCTAATCTATTTTTTTCATCACCTTTATTGCAGAAGCTTCCAACAAAACAACATCTGGCATGTTTCGCTTGTTGCGTTTCATGTTTGGGTCTCTAGACGTCCAAGTCTCCACCTTTATTGTTGCCTACGGAATTCTCACAATACTCGAAGACTTACATAGATTAGATAGATAGATTCGATCCGGTTATGATATCTTATCTTTCGTCTCTCTTTTTTTCCTCTCTTTGCTCTTTGTAATTGGCATATACATCATATTGAGGGCTTGCTTCGTTGGGATTTTGTTTTTGCAGGTACCTTCTTTTCAAAGATAGGATAGGATGGGTTGGGTCCACTGGATGGATGGTTTTATGGATGGAGTTTATGCTTGATATTTTGGGGGGGGGCAAAAGTTCTATGGACGGAAAATGGGCTCTGCTGAAGCTGTTTTCTAGTATTCAATCGATTGGGCTTTCTTGCTTTCATACTTTTGCTTGACTTGAGATACTATTTATGATTTGAAGTGACTCGATACTCTGTTTATGTGGTTATCGTGGTGTAGTGTAGATACTAGGATCTATACTCCATCCATCACATCAAAAGCATCACGTTATTTGTACATCACTCTTTCCACTACGTGTCACCTACCCTAGGACCTAGGTACCTGCCTAAATAATCCAAACCCATCAACTCCAGCAACCTTGACGAACACAAATCGTACATGTGGCATTCACCCACAAGATCTACATCCCCAATCTCACCCCGTTACTCCAACCATCTGTTGAACCACTTTGTACCTATCTTGTGGTTGTTTGTATCGATATCAAAATTCTCAAGGGACATCACATACCTATCGAATGCGGAAACGATAAGCTGCAGCATACAGTGGAGTCTTTCCTTTCCCATTACTTGTGAGAAAGAATGATCTTCGATATTTTCGATTCTGATTGATTGATTGATGGAATCACCAATACGGAATATAAGCTTATTTCAAACTAAATCTTGATAGATGCCACGACAGAGTAGAGAACACATGTTTTGTGTTTCTATACCATTTCTCTGCGTCTGTGACTCGTGTCGTATTTGTATTTTGTGATGGGTAGGGAGGTGCTTATCCGGTGGAGACATGGTGTGAAGAAGTATTGTGATGTGATAGAAAATCGATTGGTCGATTAACTATACATCTCTCTATTAGCAAAAGACAGAAAAAGAAACAATAGTGTGAATCTGATGAAGTGGTAGATGAAATGTACCTAGTATGGAGTCAACACACCTAAAAAATACCAGCAAGTGAAAGAAATCATATCGATATATTTTTTCAGACGGGAGGAAAATTACAGTTACATTATGGTAGGACCCAAATACCTAGGTGGGTATACAGAATACCCCTCTCTCGCTGATGAAACTCAAACCAAAACTCGGATTCGAATTCGCATTTTTTCGGTTATGGGAAAAGGATATGTGGGTAGATGTACAAGTAGCACATTGAGCGACCTATCTAATACCTATCTAGATCTTGATCAAGATGGTCGCTTTTTATGATGAGATTTCTTAGAGGCGGAAGGGGGGGGGGAGGAGGGGGGAAAGGAGGGGGGAGGATTATAGTTCCTTGCATTTTCTTTCTTTCTCCTTTCCCATATTTTGGTGAACTTTCAATTTACTTCCTTCCTTCCTTCCTTCCTTCCTCCTCCTTCTCTTCCTTTCTCCTCCCCCAATTTTTTATATAATCCAAGATACTCACGATCCCAACTTCCACCATTTCCATCAGTTTCTTAACTCCGAACATCCTCCTCAATATTGAACTATCAATTCCACAACAGCACCATCATTATATCACTCACTCCCTCGCCCACCACCAACTCCACCACATCTATCTACTATAAACGCCTCTCAATAAAATCGCAAAGCCGTCAAGGGTACTGCAGCACTGCAGCATAAAGTGTAGTGTAGTGTGGTAACCTTATGGCGAGTGCGAGTGCGTCTGCTAGTACGTGTAGAGACTTGAAGGCAATAAAAGAGTGGTCATTTGATGTAGGGTAGGGAGTGGGGGCTGATATTTTAGGTCTTTAATCAATATCGATATTGATACCAATACTGATATAGAGTTTCACGCAGGAGTCATTTTTGAATGCAGAGGGCTTCGAAGAGGCGGATTCAGAGAGAGAGAGAGAGAGTGTGTGTTTTCCTTCTGGTTTCTCGATGAGTTCATGTAGGATAGTACTTCAAATCGCACACATCTCATGATTGGGGACACCACACGAATAACCAGCTTGGAAAAGAAGATATTGCGTTTATTCATGAATCCTAGTGATTCAAGTCCTATGAATTTATGCCAAAAATAACAGAGCGAAGATATTGTGGTATCTCTAAAAATCACTTTTCCTCCACCGTCCATCCGTTTCATCTACCCGTCAACTCTCACCCATGACCATTCATTTCACCACCCATCTTCTCATCTAGAAAGAATGCCCTTAACAACTCCCTGAACAGTCTTCCTACCTTCAATAGCAATCTCTCCAATTCCGCTCTCATCCCCACTACCCTGCGCAAGCCAACGCTTCAACAAATCATTGCTTTCCTTGGGTTTAACATCATTTCCTCTTGTACCAACAGTAATATGTGCTACTTCATTCGTGCATTCCCATCCATCATCGATAATTCTAGCAACAATTGCCATGATACGGTCATCCCATACGATCTGCTTCTGTTAGTTTTCACCTCAAAAGATTATGAAAAGATAGAACCTACTCTCTCCAGCATAACTTGACAGTTGCCAAATCCAGTTCCAGGGCTCCATGGATCTTTGGAAACTTGATCCGCGTGTAAATCACTGTATTTCTGCCACAACTCAGGGAATTGTTTGGAATTAGCTCGATGAATAAGAGTGACGTGAAATTCTGGCTGAACTCGATGCATTCCCTCTAGGGCTCTGTAAAATTTTGCTTTGTTTGAGGATACACGACCGAAAGCATCGTCAAGCGTCTCCTTAATATCATTTCGAGGAAGGTCAATGGAGACGTATTCCAATGGTTTTCTCTTCTTTGCAATTTGTGGTTGCTGGGTTTGCTGTAATCAATTTGAGGTCAGCGTTATTCGGTACGTGTACGCTTTCGTTTTTGGGCATTTTCATCATTATCATCATCATCACGTACATTTCTGTTCTCTTTCTGTTGATTCCTATTGTGATTGTTAGGTGGTCCACGGCCAACTTCATGTCTGAGATCTGGTTTGTAATCGCTCAATGCAAACTGAATTGCCTCATCAAGATCCTCGCTCGTGGGCAAATCGATAAAAAGCTTTGGAAATTGTGCTGAAAGCTGTCCAACAACAGTCTCAAGATTCTCTCGCGAGTCCTTAGTAGGATCCAATCTGATAGAACAGTCGAATCCATCATCCGGTGGTGCAGATATATTCACTGGTTCAAAGCGTTGAATGAAACCTTCCATGATACCAACAACTTTCTTTGTATCTGATGCTGCTTGGAGAGTCTGATGATTGTCGCCGCGGTTGATTACTCGATCTTGAGTAACTTGTCGAACTTTCTCGATGCTTGCTCTATCGTGAACAAAATTCAAGACGACGAGTCGAACGTGCGGATGAGTAAGATGTACATCATCAATCAGTTGCTTTCGTTCATGTCTTGAGGCATTATTTCGATCAGCAAAGACAACAGGCTTTTCTTCGAGCTGTGTCAAAATTTCCTTGGTGAATCGAGGTGGACGGCCCTTGCCCGTAATGTTGTCATTCTGAACATGGCCCCAACCAAATAGATGAGTAAGTGCAAGCGCAATAGTTGTCTTTCCACAACCAATTGTTGCAACTGGACATAGAATAACATCATTATGCACTTCATCTGGTGACCCTCCAAGTTGAGAATATTCTTGACGAATAATATCCGAACCCTTCAGATTAATTTCCTTCAGGAAATCATCTCTCAACTTGATAATACCATGATTATGTGCATACTCTTTTCCCAACTTAGGATCCTCGGCAAGGCGTTTTCGTGCAAACAGAAGGTATTCTTCTGTGATCTTGACATGCTTTCTGAATCGAGCTGGTTTTCCGGAAATCAAGGCCTTTGTGCACTCACGCCATTGTCTATACATTAGATATGGCTCCTCGAATTTGTACTTGAAGAACCAATCTGAAAATGACTCATTTGATCTGGTACGAGCCTTACAGCGAATGACGAAACCTTCAATATCACGTCCTTGATAAGATCCAGTTTCAGCTACTTCGTCAAGGAAGGCTTTGGCGACTTGAATATCGTCCATCACCAGAAAATCAGTCTTTTTGAATCCCCATTCGGCTGCAAAAGCCTGAACTTGTTCTCCAGGATATGTCATAAACTCTGGCAAGTTGATGTTGATACCGTGAAGATAAAGCCCTGCGTCATCTTTGCCATATGCTAAAATGTGCTCCTCGAAATCATCATCGCAAAGCTCGGCGACCGCAGTGGCATTTCTCTTTCTAAGCTCTCTGGCGAGATCCTGCCGAGTTTTTCCAATGGCTTGAAGTTGTTTGTCAACCCACCTGTCAGCAGCTTTTGCGTGGCTCATTTCTGGTTTGTTTCCTTGACCGGTAGAATGTTTGCTACAGACCAATAGAGTGCCATCGTGAAGACCGCTAATAAAGACAATACATCCATTTTCTTTGAGACTCAATTCATAAGGACCCTTGGTGTTGGCTTCGATTTGGTTCCATTTCGTGGAACTAACCTCTTCCGTATTGAAGAATTTATCATAACCACGGACTGCAACCTCTGGCTGACCCTTTTCATTTTTACTGGTGAAAAGACCTCGTGCGTATGTAGGTAAATCATGTCGCTTGTAGTCCCAATCTTGAAAACGCCAAGATTCGACAACAATTCTTGCTGGAGATCCATCGACCTGGAAAGGAGTTTTCTTGCAACTGAAACCATGTTTCTTTCCTTTGCCGGCGCTATCATTGAGATTTCGAAGAAGTGTTTGAACTTCTTCTACATTTTGAGATTTATACGGAACATTTTTGTGTTCAGCCATGTCGACAGAATATTTTGGTAGATGTGTTAGAGCGGAATGGTTTGAGATATCTAAAAACTTTGATGTAGTAGTAAATTGGGGAGTTGAACAATCTTTGTGTATAGTTGAAAGAAGTCTTGGATATAGAAGTTTGTGGGCGAATAGCATGCAAGAGAGATTCTTGACTTTTAGGTGAGATTTGTTTGTCTTTTTATCAACACCAAGCAACCACACGGGATCCTTTATGATGTTCCTTCCTTATCCAGCAAAGAGTCACACCGGGGAAATGGATAGATACTGGGTAGTGAAATGAAGCTCGAGATATCAAAATCTTGAGGAAAGTGGTAGGCAGAGTGCAAGGCAGGGCAGGGCAGGCACGATACTATACCTAGGTACCGAAAGTAGTATTTTGCTTAGCTCGATACCCAAAAAAGAAAAAGGTCAGGCGAATCCCTTGATAATTGGATAATTCTTAGATTGTCTGGGTACGAGTAGGGCTGAGCATTAAAAAAAAGGCAACAGGCATGAGCGCTTAGTGGGGTTCTTGGGCTCGGTCATCGGGATATGCGGCCGCTGCACTATAGAAAATCCTCGGAGGCCTTCCTACATCAGCCACAAACAGAATAATTTTGGGAAGAGAAGTGTTGTAATACTGAAATTTCCACTCTACGGCGAAGACAATAACACGGCACTGACTCATACTGGAGTATACGATGGCTCCAGCTCAACCCAATCCTTTCCTTCTGGCCGCCGACAATTCTCCAGATCTCCTACCCCTCCTTCGATCGAACCCCGCCTTAGCTTCTGCTCAAGATGAACACGGATATTCTTTAATGCACGCTGCCGCCTCTTACAGTCATTTAGACCTTTTGCGAGCGCTTGTCACCGAGTTTGATGTCAACGTCGATTTGAAAGATGAGGACGGGGAGACAGCATTGTTTGTGGTCGAAACGTTAGATTGCGCAAAGCTATTGGTTGAGGAATTACATGCCAATTTCACAATAAGAAGTGCTGAGGATGGGTGTAATGCAAGGGAAAGAATCGAGGCAGAGGGTGACTATCCAGAAGTCGCGGTGTATCTCCGAATCAAGGAACTTGAAGCCGAGGGAGGCCTTTCAGCATCAAGTGGGACAGATGCCATAGTGGCCCACCCACCATTAGTACCCGAAGGACTGTCGGTCAATATTGGCACCATGAATCCAGATGAGGATGTAGGAGAGGTCATTGATCCCGAGTTTAAGAGACGTATTGATGAACTGGCTGCTCGAGACGATTTTCAAACACCTGCGGGACAAGAGGAATTACGAAAGCTTATTACGGAGGCGATTACAGGCGAAGTAGGAGAAGGACGAGAAGTTCGTCAACGGACAGAATGATTTTCCATCTATTCTACTTCCCACAAAACATAATCGTTGGGGACATCAGGCAACTTCAATACCGTACAGTTCTTGCTCTCGCCATTCCAGCTATCGCTAAACCCGCCAACATAATACGAAAACCAAGAATTTCTCGGCGCTACGAGTAGAGCTTGGATAAAAGTATTATGTGCCCATGTAGAGGAAATGAATCCAGTCCATGTGACTTTCACCAGCTCCTTCGCTTCATCTGAACCTATCGGAGGGTCGTAACGGGACAGAAAGGGGTCGATCTTGTCCGTTGAATTGACTCGTGGACTTTCTAGCGATATTAATGAGAGCCACTCATGAATTTCGCTGGCGAAGTCGCGAAAGTCCTCGTCATAGTTTTTATTGTTCTCTACTGGAGGTTCAAATCGAGGTCTCTTGACTGTCAAGTCACTCGATACTTTTGGAATGCATGCTATCTTGTGTGGATGATGTGGAGATAATGGGTCAGATGGTAATACTGGTGAAGACGTTAGCATTGTAGCAAGAGGTGTATGTAGATTCCCACCTGTAGCTCCTAGGTCACAGAAAAGCCACGTTACAGGAGTAGTCAATACATTCTTGAATGCATATTCAATCCTTCGAAAACCCTTCTTGCCGTGTAACATTGATGGTAATCGTAAATTTATTTCAACAACTATGAATTGATTAGCAAATCCATTTTCCCAGTCAAAAAAGTACATACTCCATCGAGGTCGATGTTCTCGTTTCCCCTTAATTCCCTCCGGTTTGCCCACTAATCCAGATCTTTCATAAGTTTCCTTATCCAGATGCAAGGTTAAGATTCCTGTGACAACGTCAGTAGGTTCTGCGCATTAAAACATCCAAACTCTGAGACCTTACCCTCACTCAAGGAAAACACATTATCAACCCCCATCATTCCCTTGGAAAGCATCATAATATTTCCTAGAATCCCGTAAGCAAAAAGTAACCTCGCAATGCCCTCACGTGCCTCACCTTTTTTAATATACTCCGTAAAAAACTCTCCCTCCAGCAATGCACTCAATGGAAGCACAACCCGACTATAAACCGGACTATCCTCCCCCAAAACTCCATCCACCCCGCTCTTCATAATCTCATACAATTCCTTGGGTAATATCATCTCAACCTTGTTGATAAATTTATGACCCAAGATATTCACAAATGGTTTCCGTTTTACAGGTGTTTGTTTGGGGTCAAGATGACCCATGGTACCATGTGTCACGTAGCATTTCTGCTCGTGTTTGGTATCTTTTGGGAAGCTTAACATTTTCGATGTGTGTGAAAGCTTGGTTGGGAAGAGGCAGATGGACAGACGCACTTTTGAGGATTTATCTTGATAGAGCGATTTTGGGTTTAGCGTGGATGGCATGGGCTCGAATGCGCTAATTTTAACCCTTGTAAGGATTTTTGGAGGGGTATTTTTTCGCAGGAGTCATGGTGAAAAATATTATGAATGTGATATTGAAAATTACATACAGGCATTGTTTTTTTGTAGCTGCGCAAAGGAGTCCTCTTCTGAGCCGATTCCACTTCAAGGCTTGATCAGAGACTTTTGTCTATAATCCTCAAAGACAACTTTTCCAATTCACCAGACTCCGAAAGTTTGACCCCGATTTGTTTGTTCGTGTTTTCCTGAGATTTTCCACACCAGTGTAGTGGTTTGCAGGAGCGAGACGAGGAGAGATTCCACTCGAACACCTGGTTCTGTAGGAGGAATCAACAACATCAAAAGATCAAAATGAAGTGTTTAATAAGATTCACACAAACGCACGAGACGTTTCGTCTTGCCGAGATTCAGGCTTTAGCAGAACTTGAGAATATTCCTTTGAAGGTTGAACACTATGTTTCGAATGTAAGTGAAATCTATCGTCAAAATCTCATCATCGCCGTCAATTCTAAGTGATTGATAGTCACCATTTTGTTTCGTAGACGTTCCGTCTGCAGAAGCCGCTGCCCGATTGGTCAAGAGAAGCATTCTCTCGAAAGCCATCTACGAAGTTTGGGGCACGGGTTCTACGTATGAAATTCTTCATGGTGATGTAAAGACTTCTACAAAAGATCTATGGTCGCTTTACAAAACCTGCTCTTTCAAATTTACCGTGGATTGTTTTCAAAATACAAGATCTACCACTGAGCAACGAGCACTCATTAATGAATTCCGATATTTGGAGTTCGAGGGTCCTATCAAAATGAAAGGAGCAGATGAAGAATTTTGTATCTTGGAAGAATGGCAACTTGACGCTGCTGCCAATGGTATCACAACACCTTCCCAAGTAACCTTTGGTCGATTTCTCGGCGCTAGCGAAAGAGATATTGTAGGAAAATATGATCTCAAAAAGAGAAAGTATATCAGTACCACTTCTATGGATTCCGAGCTCGCACTAGTCACTGCCAACATCACATTAGCAGCCCCGGCAAAATTGTTCTACGATCCATTTGTCGGGACGGGTAGTTTCCCCGTCGCATGTGCACATTTCGGCGCTCTTGCTTTCGGAAGCGATATTGATGGGCGAAGTATCCGAGGAAAGGAAACGCGAAATTTACATTCGAATTTTGTGCAATATGGTCTCACGAATCAGTTTGGAGATACGTTCGTGGCCGATCTCACAAATACTCCTTTGAGATGCGCGAGATTGTTCGATGGGATATTATGTGATCCACCCTATGGTGTAAGAGAAGGTTTAAAAGTACTTGGGAATAGGGATCCGACGAAACCTAAAGTCCCTATTATGTTAGAAGGCGAAACACAACCTCATCATTTGTATAAATACCTTTCTTTATGATCATTCTCCTAGAAACGATGCTAACCCAAATTCCAGACAAGACGCTTACATCCCACCCAAGAAACCATATTCTTTCCTAGCCATGCTAGACGATATTCTTGATTTCGCAGCCGTGTCCCTAGTAGATAATGGCCGTCTATCCTTCTGGATGCCAACTGCAAATGACGAGGATCAAGAGATCAAAGTCCCAACACATCCTTGTTTACAGATCACAAGTGTTTGCACACAAGCTTTTAATAGATGTAAGTATTTCTCATGCTAGTAGTAAATGGCGGATTGTTAATACAGAAATAGGGTCAAGAAGACTTATTACATATAAGAGAATACCGGATTCAATGGTCGATCCCGAACAAATCCGTGAGAGGACAGCTAATGGGACGGGTGTTACTGCTGATGAATTGAATCCGTTTAGAAAGGGGTATTTCCAGGGATTCAAATCTGCGTTTAGGGATACACCGAAATAAATCGAAACTGATTACATGCCCATTGAGTTTCCTTTCGTGTGAGATCTATCAGTTCTCAAGCCTCTTGTGAATCTTTTGATGTATGAGTATGCTTCGACAATCGGTTCATGATTTACGCACTTTTAATCACGAGCAGAATCCCAAACATACTGAATAGCATTCGATATAGCGCTTCAGTCAAGAATATAATAGAAGACTAATGAAGATATATTGAAAGAAAGATAAACGACTCGGACTAGCCGCTAATCACGACATCAAATTACATTCAATTCCACCATTCTTCTCACCTCCATCCCCATCTGCATCAACATACACCTCACCTCGCCACATCACAAATCCAAAAAGCTCACTCCATCTCCACCCCCCTCTCAAGCCCCCCTCTCCCCCCTACAAAACCCACACCAACCCCACCGCCCCCATCACCACCCCACCCAACACCCCCGTAACCTGTGCCGCTCCACCCTTACTCGAACTCTCAATCGGACTCGGAGCCCCCCCACCATTCTTCCCCGTCTCACTCGTCTTCACGCTCGTCTCCGTAGTTTTCGCTTCCGTTTCCGTCTCGGTCGTAGCCGTCGTACTCAATTTTTTCGTCGTCACCGTACTATTACCGCTCGCTATCGTGAGGCCTCCTGAGCCCGTGATCGGGACGAGGGTAGCTGTAGTTCCGTTGATGATGCCGGTGAGGAAACCTGTGATGCTTGGAGCGGCGGGGGCGGAGGTGGTAGCGGATGCGGATGCGGATGTGGCGGATAAGAGAGATTCGAGAGAGAAGATGCTGGCTTTTGCGGGGCCGGCGCTGAGGATGTAGGTTTGAGCGGCGGGGGAGAGAGAAGTATACCAAGCGGGGATGGAACTGAGGAATTCTTGTTCGAGTTGTGCGAGGCCTGAGGGAGAAGATTGCAGAGCGAGGACGGAGGTGGGGATGCTGGTTAATTGGGCGGCGAGGGATGGGTTGGGGATGAGGGCGGAGGAGAGAGAGGAGATGCTGGAGGCTATGGCGGAGCTATGGGGCGAGGAGAGTTTAGTTATTGGATGCTAGGATGTGGTTTGGAAGTTGAAGGGGGAATGGAAGAAAGAAAAAATGAGAGAGAAGAGAGAAGCCAGAAAACATACGCATCGACATCCTGTCGTCTCTCCAACTGCGGACTCGCAAGTACCACAGCACAAAGACTAGCCGTCGTCAAAAGATTGATATACATAATGCAATTACTGAACGAACGTGATATCTGCTATATCTATCAAATATACAAAAAGAACTCCTAGAAACTTTTCGTGTTCGCAAGTGAAAAGTAGATCTTTCAGGGAAAAAAAGAGAAGAGAAGGATAGAAATAACACGAAGACATATCAAAACAAACCCCTCAATCTCCACATTCGGGACATTGGTACACGCCTCTGATAATAAACACGAACTGTGTATCACTCTTCAGCACTGTGTATTGTCCAATCGCGGAAATGGAAATATCTTGTTTGTTCTTGCTTCTGTTGTGATACCTTCTTTAACCAATTGTTGCTTGGGGCGAAAAGGAATATGTAGTGATGGTTTGAAGTTTCATGCAGATCTACAGGTACGGGTCGGGTGTGTGAACTACTGCTTGGAGAGAAAATAAAGATCGTTCAATGTGGTGTGTTTATCTGGCTTCAAAGCTCGGGATTTGGGACACAACTTTGTGTTATATTGATGAGTATCTGCATGAAGGGATGTATGCGAACACATTTTCTACCACTTATCTTCAAATTTGACAGGGTGTGAAACATGGGCGTTGTGGCTGAAATATTGATTTTTCTAAATCCAGCCGTGTATATTCCCGAGGCAACGATGTAGGGCGGGAGGTAGGGAACTCATGGACCATTGGTGAAAAGTGACATTACTATATTACATATGGTATCTTTCTCTCTTAATTCTTCTTTCCATCTAGATCCGAATAGAAGTTGTATCCGAATCCTTTACTAGCATCATTGAATCTCAACTTCTTATCCAAACCATCCAACTTCTTCAAGTCTTCAGTATCAAGTTTGAAGTCTCCCTCCAAATTAGACTTGATGCGCGAAGGTGTCTTGGATTTGGGGATAACTGAGTGACCATGTGCAATACCCCAAGCTAAAGCTACTTGTGCTCCAGACTTGTTATACTTTTTGCCGATCTCAACGATAGTTGGATCATCCTGAAAACATGTTAGTAAAGCATGGAATGATTTGAATTGAATCAATCTTACCATCAACTTGCCAATACCCTTTCCGGCATCATAAATTTCATTTTGATTTCCAAATGGAGAATACTGTGTGATGTGAATACCTTTGCTCTTGTTGAATTCACAGAATTCAGTTTGTTGTAACCATGGATGAAGTTCCAATTGGTGAGCTGCAGGAACCACAGAAGTCTCCTTCAACAAATGTTCCAGCTCTCCTCTTGAAAAATTGGAAATGCCAATAGCCTTAGTCTTTCCAGTATCAATAAGCTTTTCCATGGCTTTATATGTGTCGACGTATGAAATATCTGCTGTTTGCATCTTTCCATCCACCTTTGGCATTAATTCATCGCCTGGTTTGAATGCAGATGGCCAGTGCATCAAGAATAAATCCACATAATCCAACTCCAAATCTTTTAAGGAAGCATCAAGAGCCGCTTCGACGTCTTCTGGTTTGTGCTTGTTGTTCCATAATTTAGTGGTAATGAAGAGTTCGGAGCGAGGAACGCCAGATTTCTTGATTGCAGTTCCGCATGCTGGTTCAGTACCGTAAACTCTAGCCTAGAAGAGATATTGGGTTAGCATATTATCCACGGATCGGTGATGAACTCTTCAGATGATAATACGTACAGTGTCGATGTGTCTATATCCCGCCTTCAATGCCTCTGTAACTGCATCCTCTTGAGAATCTTTGTCCTGCCAAGTACCAAACCCGATGGCAGGAATGGTAGCTCCAGTGTTAAGCTTGTGGGAAGTGATTGAGGCCATGGTTCGTCTTTGAAGGTGTGAAGAAAGTTGTGATAATCGTGCTGAAGATCTGAATGATGATT